ATAAAGAAGAAGGGAAAAAAGATTATCCAGTGTTGCTTTCTATGGCCCCATCCATTGATGAATCCTCCTCTACAAAACTGGACCTGTTAAAAATAAACAACATTTTGAAATCGGTGAAAGGTGTTTCATATGTAAGACCTGTTGGATTACGCATCATAAAAGTATTTTTTTCATCCAAAGCAGATGCTAATAACTTCATCATGAATAGCAATCTTCAAAAAACCCATGGATGATCGCAAGGATCCCATACGATCATCTTGAGTCACAAGGTATAATTAAAGTGCCTACTGAACTTACTGAAGAACAATTGCTTCAAGAGTTGCAAGCTGACATTGAGATTATAGGGATAAAGAGATTTGAAAGGAAGATGGATAATATTCTTGTTCCTACCCCTACAGTTTTGGTCACCTTCCTCAGTTCCACTGCCCCTGATCATGTAACTTATGATTTTATATGGTTTGAGGTGAAGAAATATGTGAGACCTTTACAACAATGTTTCACATGTTATAAATTCGGCCATAGTAAAAATTCATGTAAATCAAAACAGGTTTGCTCCATTTGCTCTGGAGAACACTTCTTCAATGTGTGTAACAACCAAGCCAATGTAAAATGTATTAACTGCAAGAGCACAGACCACATTGCTGTTTCTTCTTTATGTCCTATAAAAAAGGCTAAATTAAATGAAATTAAAGATCAAATCAGCGGCAAGTCCACCTATGCCTCAATAACAGCAAAATCTGCTTTTCCTTCTTTGAAACAAGAATCCTCAAGGCCACAGCGAAGAGCCTTACTGTCTGTACTGATTAACTCCGATGAGGTCATAAGTGTTATTACTAAGACAGTGTTAGATATTCTTAAAAAAAAAGATTCTGTTTCTTCAACAAAATCAGATGCCAGCACCTTAGTTTCTTCTAAGGTCATAAAGGAGTTGCTTATTACTAATTTTGCTTCATAATATGGATTTTCAGGGTAATATTAAGCAATTTGTAATCTTCCACTGGAACTCTCGTAGTGTCTTGTCTAAGTTATCTAATCTACAACACTTTATTTCCTGTTCAAATACTGACATCGATATAATTCTTCTTAATGAAACTTGGCTTACTCCTGACAAATGTTTTAGGATTCCTGGTTATAACATAGTCCGACAAGATTCTAGTCGCCCTCATGGTGGTGTTGCTGTTGCTATTAAAGGTAAGTATAAGTTCTCTACCATCTCTTGTGACAAATGCTATGACTTCCAGAATATTTTATTGTCTGTTTCTCTTGGTTCCTTGTCACTGGATATTTTATGTGTTTACTTGCCTCCTCCTCCAAATGGCAAATTTCAAATTCAACAACTGAATAATGTTTTTTCTAAAATCTGTAATAAAAATTATATCATTGTAGGCGATTTTAATGCCCATCATATTGCTTGGGGTTGTAGAAACGTTGACAGAAGAGGCAATTTAATATATAATTTTGTTGATACTCATAATTTAGTATGTTTAAACGATCACACTATAACGACCTTTGCTCCATTTGGTCAACAAGGCAATGTACTCGATTTAGCTTTTGCTTCTCCATCAATTAGTTCCAACTGTACACTTTCAGTATTAGACGATCTTATGAGCAGCAACCACTTCCCTCTACTGGTTAGTTTGTTTTACAAGGAATGTGTGCAGAGCCATAAGCAGTCTTCAACTCACTCTGCCGCTCCAACCACTCCCTCTATACACTGCCTAGCTAATCTCAATTATAATAAAATAGATTGGTCGAAATTTCATGATTTATGTACACACAAATTTTCAACTTTTACTATTAATCCGGATCCACTCGTTGCGTACACTGACTTTATTCAAATCTTAGTTGACATCTTACTGACATTTTATACAACGAAGGCGATGTTTTGCCATAATAAAAAACGTCAACCGTTGCTTTGGTGGAACGATGTTTGTAGTCAAGCTGTTCAACAAGCTAAAATTGCTCTTGATTCATTTAGGATTTATCCATCTCAAGAAAACTATCTTTTATATAAACAATTTGATGCTAAGAAAAAGAAAACTCTTTCCGAGCAAAAAGCATTAGGTTGGGCCAACCTTTGCTCTTCTTTCAACCGCATGACTTCCACTAAACTAATTTGGGATTATATTCGCAAATTTAAATTTGCTAAGCTCCGTACCAGCTCTAAATCTCACTTTTTTGACGATACTAAAAATATTATGATGTTTCTAGATAAAATAACTTCTTCGTCACTTACTTGTAATTTTTCTACTCATTTACAATATTTATTTTTTAATAACAGCTCTAGTTCAACTCAATGGTTGACTGATCCATTTGGATTTCATGAGCTACAAGCTGCTTTACTGAATAAGAAAAGTAGTTCTCCAGGACCAGACTATATTACTTACAAAGTTATTCAGTGTTTACCCTTCCTGGCTAAAACATTTTTGCTAGAAATTTATAATAGGCTTTGGAAAAAAAGTATTATACCTCCGGATTGGAAAATCCAGTATGTAGTTCCTATATTAAAACCTAATAAAGATGCTAATAGCTTAGATGCATATCGACCTATTTCTTTAACTTCATGTTTTTCGAAATGCTTCGAAACTATGCTTAAAAACCGTCTTGAGTGGTTCGTGGAAAATGGTCAACGCATACCTGACTTTCAATTTGGGTTTCGCAAAGGGAAGAGCACCTTGTATAATTTAGCTTGTTTGGTAGGTGATATTAAAAATAATTTTGTGAGTAATAAAAGTACTTTGGCTGTTTTTTTGGATATTAAAGGAGCTTTTGATAATATAGATCATGAATACCTAATCAAAAGTTTATCCCATCTAAATATACCAGGTTTAGTTTTACGTTGGATTTTTAATTTCCTTAACGATAGAAACACGTTTATTAAATATAAAAATAAATTGTATGGCCCCAGGAGTTCGTTTAGGGGAACTCCTCAGGGTTCAGTTCTTTCACCGCTTATTTTTATTTTAAGTCTTGTGGGTTTCATGAAGCGGATTCCTGATTCTGTGCATTACTCTTTCTTTGCAGATGATCTTGTTGTTTATCTAAGTTGTGATAATCCCAATAAAGGGCAAGATGACATGAATGAATGCTTACGAATCATTAATGACTTACTTTCTACTGATTTAAAACTTGAAGTCAATATTGCTAAGAGTTCTGTAATTTTATTTTCCAGGAACGGACCTTTTGTCCCAAAAATTTATTATAATAATTATTTATTGCCATTTCAACAGTCAGAAAGGTATCTTGGAGTAATTTTAGACTCCAGTTTATGTTGGAAAGCTCATATTGAGAATATTTGTAAGAGAACTGAATTGGGTTTGAATATCCTCAAATCTTTGATTGGTGTAAATTGGGGTTCAGATCCCAAAACGTTAAAAATGTTATACATTACAACCATTCGCAGTCATTTTGATTATGCTTGTATGTTTTATTCTGATGCCGAAATGCACCTCCTTAAAAAGTTAGATATTATACAAAACAAAGCTTTACGTATTATAACTGGTGCCATGATGTCATCTCCCATCAACTCGCTTGAAGTTGAATCCGGAATTGTACCATTATGTATCAGAAGATCTTATCTAACTGATAGATTTTGTTTACAATTAGTAAGTCGAGATAACGTTATCGTTTCAAAATTTTTAGAGAATTACTCTGCTCTTAATTTCAACGAAGCTTCCTTATCAATTTCTACCACATTAAATAACTCTATAGCATATTTAAATTTTCAATATCAAGATGTTGTGCATTGGTGTCATAATATACCCTGTTATAACTTTCAATTCCTCAGTTTAGTTATAGACATTCCTATCAATATCACACGCTTTGATAGTAAATTCGATTTTTATGAGTTTTTGGATGGCATGAGAGATTTTCACAAGATATATACAGATGGTTCCAAAACAGGAGACAGAACTGCATTTGCTTTTTACGATGCTGATTGTCGTTTTGGTAAAGTATTTGAATGCAATTCCTTATTTTCTATTTTTTCAGCTGAGGTGTTGGCACTGATTTATGCACTTGTTTACATTAAACAGAATCACACATATAAAAAATATTTAATTTTAACTGACTCAATGAGTGCTCTTCTGGCTTTGTCCAACAAATTAATTAGTGCAAATTGTAATTATTTGATATACTCTTTAAGAAGTCATATTTTTAATTTAATGTGTGATAATGTAGTTGTACAATTTTGTTTAGTTCCTGGTCACTCCGGTATTTTAGGAAATGAATTGGTTGATTCTCTTGCTAAGTCAACTGAGAATGTTGAATTTTGTAATTTTAAAGTTCCTTTTACCGATTTACATTTAGCTGTTAAAGAAATAATGTTCATCCGGTGGTCCATGTCTCTACACAGTTCTAGAAGCATCAAAGGTAAATGGTTGGCTGAGATTCAGCCAACACCTTCAACAAAGGCTTGGTTTGAAAAAAATACTACATATTTAGGAAGACAATATATTACTGGACTGTGTAGGTTACGCATTGGCCATTGTAAATTTCCTGCTCATTTAAATAGACTTATAATAATAATATAATAATAATAACGCACACACTCAATTTTTTTTTGTTTTGCCATAGTAGTTTTTCTGATTTAGATCATTTATTTTTTGTTTGTCCCAATTTTAATTTACAACGTTTACTTTTCATAGCTCAATGTAAAGACATTTTAAAAAAAGATTGTTTATTTCCTAGTACTGCCCAGGAGCTTTTACAGCATTTAGAGTTATATAAATTTATTGATAGTTTTGTAAGTCATACTTTTGGCCATATTTAAGTTTTATTATTTTTTATTGATTCGTTCGTGTTTATATTTTTAATCCTCTGTAAATAATTTATTCTATTGTTTAGTTAAGGTTTAGTTTTAGTTCATTCACTTTTATTGTAATACATTTTTATTTAGTTATCTTTTTAAGCTGATGGCCTTGAAGCCAATGCTTAATAAAAAAAAAAAAAAAAAATACAAGACTGTCACTTTGACAATTTCGTTTCCGAAATATTTTTGGTATGGCGGTGTACTTACGCAGATTAACTATCATTGCTAAATTAGTTGAAAATTACTACTAATTTACTACTAACATTCACACAAAAGCAAACCAAAAACATGGCGTCGCCTTTGGAGCAATTTGTAAACAATGTGAGGACTATGTCCGCATCAGGTAAGTGTTCGATGCGGCTAACATTTCGCTTAATTTTCTATTTAAATGTATTGTTTGGTTTCGATACCGTGTGCTGAGTATTTTATCCTATCCTGTTATTCTTGACTATAGTTTTAGTCATTATAATTTGTAAACTATTATTATAAAGAATTAACCCTTCTGTCGATAAAACTACCCTACAGGTAATTTTCGCGAATTGTGTGAAGTGATCAGCAAATCTGATGAGGTGCTCCAGCGCAACAGTGCCCACCTGAACACAGTGTTGGAAACGTTGGATATTCAGCAGCATTCACTTGGTGTTCTTGCAGTATTGGTGGCCAAGTTTTCATTACCTCCAGTAAGTTTTAACATAAAAAAATTACATACTTAAAATTAAAAAAATGTGCACATCAACCATAATAACGGTTTACACAGAATACCAGTATTAGGGGAAGATGGGGAAATGTAAGCCTACTAAGGAAAATTGATAATGAAACTGATCATTTATGCAATTTAAATGTTTATTAGCTTTGAATGTATGCATTGATTATCTGGGTACTAGATAATCACAGAAAAAATATGAAAGTAAAATACATATATTTGTTTAAAAAGAAAAAACTAAAACATGTCATTAGTTCCTATTACCCTGTAGTTCAGAAAATGGGAGCCGGTAAGTATCCCGTATGTTAAATAGGAGCCATTATAAATAATCAGTCTGTAAAAAATATATAAATTAATGAAATGTATAAGTTAAAAACTATTGAAACTAAAGAAGAAAGTGTTAAAAATATGTAGAATATCCAGTAGATACTGCAACAGGATAAGGAGAGCCAAATAACCGATCATTACTGTGTTACATTGAAATGACAAAAAAACAGTAAAAATATTTCTATTTTTATTGTAATTTAAAGTATAACACCCAAAATTTTATAGATGTGATGACATAGCTAGTGTAAATACAATATGGTATCTATGCTTTTTAATGCTTACCTGGGATGATGAAATTTGGCAATTTTTATAAGCGGGGAGCAAAAAAACACACAGCCATATCATGTGACTAAATGCAGGGTTCAGCGGAGACGAACTTTGTTGAACATTAATGAAGCATAGGAGTGCCGTTTGCACAAATACGAGCATTACCCCACAATCTCGTACTACTTTTAAAATCAGCTGATTTATTCTGTCAAACCTATATACTCTGCTTGCAGTTTTTTCTCAAAAAACTTTGAGAAAAAGCTGCGAAAGTAATTTTTCATTCTTGTATCATTTTTCAGGTTAATAAAAAATATAAAAAGATACATTTAACTTACTTTGTACATTAGATATTTTAGAATTCTAATCAGATATTACAAATTGTTCTTCGCAAAAAAAGCAATTTCTGTTGAAAATCGAAAATATAATAAATTTGTTTTGTCTTGATAAACTGATAGATTTTTGTTACAAAACACTAAAGAGTCTTGCAGTGTTTTAGTTTGATAGGAGAGAATTATTTGAAGTAGTAGATTTTGTTCCAAAAATTTAAATTTTGGTATGAAATAAAGTGACAATAACCTGTGGGAAAACAGTTGCTTCTCCATTTGTTGTTAATACTTTGAATTGGCTATACATATATGCATATGACTTTTAACAATATGTAATAACACTTCCTCTTGTTACTGGTGAGGATAAACATCACGATGACATCTGCACTGAAGAAAGTGCATAACCTTTGAAAACTTGTGAAATCCTTAAACCACACTGCATGAGTGTAAAGTAAGCTCTCTTGTAGGAGTAGTAGGAGACTTGTAGGGCTAGCACGATGAGGCGCGACTTGCGCGAGTGTGAAATGGAGAATAGCAATATGTCGCGCTATTAAGTTGTTCTCCCTATCATAGTAGGGCTACTACTGTGCCTCAATAGTGAGGACATATAATGAGTTGATTATAATGGTGATGGAGATGAATGTACCATTTTTTATCAAGTATTTGTATGTTGTGTCCTGTGTTATATGTTTGAGTTAAATGGAAGTATTTTCGATTTTGCTTTCTGTTAAAGTTGTCTAAGAAGTATTACTACATGAATCTGCACATTATTGGAGTGTATTATCGTTCGTGGCTTCAATGCGTATAAAATCTCTTTCTTCTTCTCCATTTCTTTTCTTTCCACTGTCCTCATTATTCTTTAGTTTAGCTAAATTATCTCGCTCATCCCGAACACTATTTGTATGAGATTTTTCCAAATCACTAATCTAAACAATCGTATCCTAAGTAATCCTAAGTCCTATTCATTTAGACTCCAAAATGAAAATAAATGAGTTTCCAGGGCAACAATGACGTAGATAGAACTACAATGTACCAACAAATCCATGATTTCATTAACAACTGCAATGGGGAGCAAGTCCGTTTTTCACCTGATCTTTGTGAGTAGCCTTAACATAAATAGAATTGAGTAATTATTTTTGTCTTATTTATAAGTCACTCTACAAAGGAGTGCGCAAAGTACTGAAAGAGAAGCTTCCTAACAGAAGGAATAAAACTACATCTGAATACAGGTGCTCTTATAGAATTGGGTGGATAACATCAGATAATATGGAAGTCAAGAGTCTGTTATGTGATCCATATGACATGGAAGCCTGAGATTTGGAGGAAATTTGAGAAACTATATGTTTAGAAATGCACTACTCATAGGCCAAAATGATGATTATTCTTTCCATTTTTCAGTATATGATTGGTTACACCTTTGTGCTTTCTGTGTGTTGTCTTTGTATATTTTTTTTTATTTGTATGGTAAAAAATGGTGACAACACAAAATAATTCTGTTCTCAATGTTCAGATGCCGATCTCTGCCACCTCTTAACTGACCATCTAGTTGAAGTGAAGCAGCCCATCAGGGGAATAGAAATCCTAAAAAAGGCAATCAGAAAGATTCAGTTATTTGACTCCCAGCTAACATCTATCCATGCTGATCTATGTCAGTTGTGCTTGCTGTCCAAATGCTTAAAACCTGCACTTGATTTCTTGGATACTGATGTCACTGGAATTGGATCTGAGGTGAGTGAATTTTTAACAAATAATCCTTATTATGTTCAATTTAACAATAACACCTATAGATGAATTTAATCTATAAGGAATAAAAATAATAATTTAATTTGTTTTTTCACAACATATACCTCAAGACAAAAAAATATAATTTTAAAATTCCAGGGAATGTTTACCTTAGCCCTTATTTGCATAAGTACTGCTTAAGATTGGCTGTTACAAAATTATTCTGATATGATATTAATTCAACGTTGTTTGCAACGGACATGTCTACTGGGCAAAGTCGATGGTAGCGTCGTCACGTCCAAGCCAGAGGTAATGGGGGAAATCGAGAGGCTCTGTAGCCAAATATATGCCTCGATTACTCAGCCTGTTGCTGATTCAAAAGATCCTAGAGCCAAGCTCACCCGGCACTGACTGTATGAGGATATTCCGGATATCAGCCTGTGCGCGATTAGGAGGACTCTAAAACAGCTAAAAGCAACAAGGTGAAGACGGAATTACATCCGAGCTTCTGAAAGTGGGTGGAACACTGGTACTGAAAGTCCTATCAGAAGCTTTTTAATTCGGTCTTACTCGAAGGTTTTACGCCAGAAGTGTGGAATAGAAGCGGGTGATAGTCTTCTGCAAAAGGGGAGATAATACCCTACCGAAGAACTACAGGCCCATCTCGCTTCTAAGCCACGTTTATACGCCGTATTCACGACTCATCACGAACCGTTTCGCGCGCAGATTCGATGACTTCCAACCGCCCGAACAAGCCAGTTTCCGAAAGGGCTTCAGTACCATAGACCACATCCACACGCTGCGGCAGGTTATACAGAAGACCGAGGAGTATAACTTGCCATTATGCATTAGCGTTTATGGACTATGATAAAGCCTTTAAATCGATCGAGATTTGGGCGGTGTTATATATGTATATACAACGGTGCCACATTACGCGGTGCGGTGACTATCGATATATGGAAGTGTTGAAATGTTTTTGATAGAAACGCCACTATGTCAATTCGACTCCAGGACCAGTGCACAAGGCCTATTCAATAGCAAAGAGGGGTGCGACAGGCAGATGTCATTTCTCCGAAACTATTCACCACTGCATTGGAAGATGCCTTCAAGTTACTGGACTGAAAAGGACTTGGCATCAACATCACTCACATTCGATTTGCTGACGATATCGTGGTCATGGCAGAATCGGTGGAAGAGCTAGGCACCATGCTTGGTGACTTCAACAGACTCCCAAAACGCGGGTCTTAAAATGAACATGGTCAAGACGAAACTTATGTCGAATGTCTATGTTGTACATACCCCTATAACAGTGGGAACCTCTACTCTCGAAGTTGTTGTCGAGTATTTCTACGTTGGACAAACCGTCCGATTGGCAGAGCCAACTTCGAGAAACAGGTCCGACTCAGGAGATGAATGACTTTCGGGCAGCTTCGGGACGTCTTCTCGTCCTCAATACTGCTGTCCTTGAAGACAAAAGTCTTCGAGCAGTGCGTGTTGCCAACTATGACCTTACGGCTCTGATACGTGGTCACTTACTATGGGTCTCGTAAAAAAGCTCAAAGTCACTCAACGAGCTAAGGAGCCAGCAATGCTCGGCATTTCTCTACGTGATCGACTCAGAAATGAGGAGATCCATAGAAGAACGAAAGTCAAGGATTGGCAAGTTGAAGGGGCAGTGGGGCAGGGTACATAGCTCGTAGAACTGACGGCCGTTGGGGCAGAAAGGTTCTCGAAAGGAGACCAAGAACCGGAAGGCGTTCAGAAGGACGGCCCCCTACTAGATGGGCAGATGACCTAGTAAGGACAGCAGGTAACCGATGGATGGACGTCGCGTCCGACCTGCTAGTCTGGCAATCTTTGGAGGAGAAATAGGTAAAGTGGCAATATTTCCCTGGACGAACTCGTTCACGAGGAGCTCTACTACTACAATAATTGAAAGTGGTTTCAATGAGTCGCGGCCATGGAACCTGCAAATGGGCTCGAAACATTGGTTTCTTTGAATAATAAATATGCGATTTGGTTAAAAAAAATTGTTTTATTTTATTTATGTTTTGTTTACAGCTTGGAGGCAACAATGATTCAAAACATTTCTTACTCTACTATTTTTATGGGGGCATGACCTATACAGCAATGAAGAACTATGACAGAGCTCTGTATTTCTTTGAAGTGGTGGTGACAGTTCCTGCTATGGTTGTATCGCATATCATGCTTGAAGCTTACAAGAAATACATTTTAATCTCCCTTATTCTGCATGGAAAGGTTTGAATTTGCTAAAAAAATTACAAAATATTAAATAATTCACTAAAGATAGTGAATTCTTTAATATTGGGTAGAAATAAGAATTTGCCTTTGACATTTTATAAAAAAATCTTATTTATGTAAACAAATACACAGTAATTGATTTTGATTATAAAAGGAAGACCTATGTGGTATTTGACTTTTAATTATTCATGGAGGAAATTTATATTGAGTTTTCATAAATTTGTCTTCAAGTTAAAAAATGTTTGGACGTAGATGATAACATAATGTCCACAATTATTTTACAGGTTTTGCCTATGCCAAAATACACTTCGCAAGTGGTATGCCGCTTCCTCAAGCCATTGTCCGTCGCGTACCATGAGCTAGCTACCAATCAGCATGCCGCCATGAAGCATAGGGAGACATTCATTAGGGATAAAAATATGGGATTAGTTAATCAGGTAGATATTTAAAATGCTAGCAGTATAAAACAGAATGGAAATAAAATTTTGCGCTGCATGCTTAATGGAAAATTGAATGCAAGTTGCAAGCAAGAGTTTCCATTAAAATGCGCAAAATGAATATGCTCCCTTATACCGACTTCAAAAAAAGGAGGAGGTTCTCAATACGACTATGTTTTTTTTTGCATGTTGTTACGCGATAACTTTTTAGGCTATTTGTGAACCAATTTTGATGATTCTTTTTTTTTTGTTCAAAAGAGGGTACCTCAGATATAGTCCCATTTAAATTTGAAGAAAATATTCCACCTCTAAGGGTGGCAAACTGGGGGATGAATGACTTTTGAGGTCGGTTTTTTATTAGTATTCTGTACTGATTAATATTTCATTTTATGGTTCAATTAATCATAATTCTATACTCAATTTCTTGTTGGAACAGATTTTTACTAAATGTAACATAGATTTTTAGATAATTATCATATAGCATATTCTTATCAAAGTCAAATAATCTTTATTTGGAATAGGTGAGCGAATTGCATTTGAAACCGTCACATTGACTAAACTCTACTGTGAATTCTCCTTGTGAAGAATGAGCCAGAATCTCTACGCATTACTCTTTGAATAAACATTTGTACTCATTATCATTTACAATTTCACTTATTTGAAACATCATCATAATGATTTATGTCTGAGATACTTTCATCTTTTTTTTTATTACATCAAGTGACGGGACGAACATGTCGTGCGCCTGATGGTAAGCTACACGCCTGTCCATAACAGTTACAGTGCCACTCAGAGCATTAAATTGCAAAGATCTGAGACACCTCTGCGCCCGTCACCTTAATACATAAGTTGACAAGTCCCATGCGCCTGTAATTTCACCAGAACCTTTACCCTTCAAAACCGGAACACAGTAATGCTGACATTGGCTTGGCGGCAGAAATAGGTAAGGTAGCAGTATTACCCTGGGCGAACTCTTTCACAAGGAGTTCTACTGCTACTATTAGTTTTTTATGAGATTTGCCAGTTTGGTGAAGAAAAATAGACTGTCAACGGATGTGTTTCCATATTTGTCCACTTGACGCACCGAAAATAACATAATATATGAAAGGATCTAAATGAAATTGATTTTTATAAAAGTTTTACATATAAATACCATAAGTACAGTTAACAGTTTTTTTTTTTCAGTGATTGTCTCTTTTGTTATGTTTATAACAAAAAAAAAACAATAGATAAAAACAACAATATTTACATATCGGGCAAAATTTTTCTTGATATGATATTATTCTGTTTCAGGTCACAAGTTCAATGTACAAGAAAAACATACAGAGGCTTACAAAAACTTTCTTGACCCTCTCTCTGAGTGACGTAGCGTCGCGAGTGCAGCTTACTGGACCTGCACAAGCTGAAACCTACATTCTCAATATGGTAGGAGATATTAACTTTGATCCTGTATAATTGTTATATAAGATCCTGTTGAATGTTGTAGGAATTGTGTATTTGACATCTACATAAATTGAGTAATTATGATAGTGAAAGAAAATTTGTTTGCACTCTTCATTGTAAAAGTAAACACCTTATTACTTATAGCCACGGAAGAAAAAAACAATGGAAGTGCCATAAGCCTCGATTACTACAAAACCCGATGTCGCCAAAACTCACACGTTCTTAATTTGAAACACTATAAAATCGTGATATTGATTGGGTTTCAAATAGTTTCAAATTTAAAAAGAAATAACAAATTCTGGATTGTTCATATAATTTAAACTTTACCCTGTTGGCATATTGTTGAAAGTTCAATACCATTAATACCTAATATTGCAAGTTATGGTGTTTTCATATATTGAAATTTCAATCAATGTGCTGCCATCTATCGGTTTTGTTGCTGAACGACGACGAATTGGAGTTATAAATTTAGTTCTCCAAAGAAGCAGGGGTATAAGCCTTAGAGGATGGAAAAAAATAAAGTATAAGCTTTACTTTCGTTTCTTGTAAGAAAAAAAACATTTTTCGAATAAGACTCTATGATATGAAATACGACCACGGGTAATATTTTTGATGCGGCTATCATTTTTGCACTCCAAAGCAGCACAATAGGTATTTTTCTAGGATTTTAGAGAATTTGCACGAAACACAAACCGAAAATGGCGGATTGAGATCGAATAGGTCTTCAGAGACCTATAGTCAGTGGCGGATTTGCCCTAAGACCCAGTAGGCCCGGGCCTAGGGCATTGGCCGCCCTAGCCGCCGTGACAAAAAATTCCCTGATATAACAAGAAATACTGGACAACGATCGTTTTCTTGTTTGCGACGGGTTAAAAATTATTTACGCACAACAATGACGGAGCAAAGGTTAAACGATCTTGCTTTGCTTAACATAGAGGCCGACTTTTTAAGGAAATTGGATTGTGAGAATTTAATTAATGATTTTCATGCGCTTAAGTGCAGACGAGTTTTGTAACACACTGTAAAACGCTTTTTATTCTAATTTTGAATGAGAATGAACTCATAGTTAAATAAATAAAACCTAAAACCGTTTTAAATGTTTGTGTTTTGTGTTGTGTAAATCGGAAACCTCCGAAAATATTAAAAACTAGCAGCTATTGTAGTTAACTAAATTTCAGAATGGATTTCGATAAAAGTTGGCAATAAAGTAAATTCATTATGTAGTCTACCCGTATATTATGAGTGCTGAGAAAGGGGCGGCTGGTCCTGACTACATGGCCTGGTGCCAAGGGCGACCAAGACTGCAAATCCGCCACTGCCTATAGTTGGCACGCGTCTGACGCTAACTAACCACTTTTACTGTATTTATTGTTCTGTGTTTATAGCATCCAGGCTTATGAATTTTATAAGATTTCTTTTTTCATATTAACAGATTGAAGAAGGCGAAATATATGCAATGATAAATCAAAAGGACGGAATGGTAGTATTCCTAGACAGTCCCGAAAAATACGCGTCACCAGAGACATTGTCTATTTTGGAACAACAGATGGCAGCCTGTACAAAACTTCACCAGTACATTCAAGAAATGGATGAGCAAATTCAAGTCAATCCACAGGTATACTGATCTATGTATTTGATGTATCAACAGTGCTAAATACTTAACTAGTTATGCTTTTAATTTTTTCGAGCATTGGTAGCCCAGTGAAAGAACTGTTGCTTCTCAATTAAGAAGTCGAGGGTTCGATTCCTTGTTCCAGCATCTACGTTATGTTCTTGTGAATGTTTAATACCTTTCGCTAATTATGAAGTACTCAATAGTGATAAAACTGCATGTCAAAGAAAATTCACAACCTTTGGAAATTGTGACCTGCTCTAGGCCAGTGCTGATTATGCCGTGAACACTCTTTAGGGATGTAGCTTGCAGTGAGAAAATATATAACGAATGGATCTGTGCTGCTTTTGAAAGCTTTTACAGACAAGACGCGTCATGATAAATGTTATGTCAGTCATTCATTTGCCATTGACATTGTCATCATCAGTTGCAGTTGTGTACTTATTAACTGGCTCCGTGGCCGAACGGTTATCATGCCGGACTGCCACGCACAGGTCCCAGGTTCGATTCCCGGGCCATGAGAAACATTTGTATGAGCTACATTTATTTCTCTCGTGAGTTTGGGCGTAATTTGTGGTTGTCTATGTGCGTGTCCATAACACCTGCGACACAGGGTTTCCCTAGTGTGGGGCTATGTAAAATGTGTGTGTCATTATTAAATTCTCACCTTGTTCCTCCATTTCATTTTATTGTCCAACTTATTTATTTTTCTAATTTAATGTATTTAAATTTAACATTATTTGATTTTGTTTATTTGTAATAAAAAATAAAGTTATGGGATTTCTACTTTTGTTGCAGTATGTAAAGAAATCAGCAGGCAGCCATGAAGAAGACATACCAGCCACTAGCCAGAACTCAAAAACCACTTATTCAATGTAATTTCATTTAATTTAAGTCATTTTATATTATAGCCCCCAGTATAATATTTCAAATCCAGTGCAAAGTGCAGTTTCACTGTATGAAAGGAATACATTACCCTATAAACCAAGTAAAAAAACAATAAAATAACCAACAATTTTATAAAGCCTCATGGACAGCTTCTGTAAAGGCAGTCATGCTTTCCAATGGAGTTTGAGGTGTAATGCCATGCCCTAAGTTTGCTATATACCTGTGCTTTCCAAACTTCTGCACCATCTCTATTGTTAACCTTTTGATTTCCTCCTGAAACAAAAGTATGTAAGTTAAAAGTATTAAATTTTTAGCAATATTGTGATATTAGTCGCCTAATTTAATGAGTTTTTTATTGTTATGGAGATCGTCGGGGATATTGCAATTATGCGTAACTGGCATTTGATTATGAGTTTCCATTTCGGTATATTAGTGGCCAATTCAAATCCGGGTAAATGTCGTGGCAACCAAATTATGATTTACGAGAATTTATTATCAGTCCTAAGACAACATAAATTAATGCTTACTGTGCAAAAATGAAAGTCGTAGCCATTGAAATAACAACGTAATAACGTTAAATCCCTCTCCTGTGAAATTTGGTTTAATGCAGATACACGCTTTTTACCAATACTACATACGCGGATTTGCACAATTATGCACGATATGATGAATTACTAGGTTTACTTACATGTTTTAAATTTTTCATCCTCTCTGGTTGGTAGAAATGAACTCCTCAATTCACTATATATATATATATATATAATTAATTAATGCTATTTTGTTAAATAAGCCACAAAGAAATAACACGAAAACCTAGATTAAGTTAACTAAATAAAACGATGTTAAAATCTTACTTAAAAGAAAATTCGCTTCCTTAACTACCTTACAAAAGAACGTTACGTTGCTAAGACTGAAAAACAATTACTTTCGCGGTCGCTAAACTTAAAAATCAAAACTAACGTATTTATAATATATTTTATAGACATTATGGTGATACCTTGACAATGCAATTTGATATTAGCAGCTGTTTGCATGTCACTAAATGCTGTTTGGGAAGGGCAAAGGGCAATTACAAAGCCACTGCTATCTTTTTTATACTTCAAATTTATGATATTATATTATCATTACTGTTTATATTAAAATAAGTTAGGTCAAATAAAACTCGTATCCATACCCATTGCTGATGTAACAAAACGTATCAACGTAACATGTACCTACATGTGGCAGAGAGAAGAGCCTAAGGGCGCGTTCCCACTAAATTGTGACGACTAATTGTCGTGCAGTTTACAGTGTCGTGGCTTGTATATTTAAATGAAGTTGTTCACACATAGCACGACACGATCGTGAACGCTGTCGTTCACGACATCCTTACAACGACAAACTGTCGTCACAGTGGGAATAGTTAGAACGACAGTCGTCAGACGATAAAAAAATGTCACAATAAAAACGTGACGACAGACTGTCGCAGCTCCTATTGCAGTCACGTTTTATTTATCGCTGTCCGCACGAATTCTGCTCCCTGCCGTCCCCTCTAGTACCCCGCGCCCTCTGCTCGCTTTGCAGTAGCGTTAGGTCGTAGCCAGAGATGGGCAAACACCCGTCGCTTTGTTAATGCCCTTTGTTAAATCTGTTTAAAACCTGAAATCGAGAGCAAAAACTATTTACGTCTAAATATGTGTTGTGAATTGAGTTTTGTTCAAATTTAATTATACATATAATTACAAAATATTTATTGATTTATTATCAGGACAGTTACATTTACCTTTCTATTGAATAGATTCGCTTGAAAAGTTCATCAATAAATTGATACAAAAAATCGTTAATTAGTATGCACTTGAATTGATCTTCATTGAGAATCCACAGGATTGACTGGTGGTGGGTATTATGTGGAGATACCTCTTCTTCGTGTAATAAAAATATAGAAATTTGTTACAAGTTATTGTATATTACGTTGTTAGTGTGGAATTATACCAAATTCTGTACTCTTCGTTTCTGCCCACGATTTTGGGCAGAAATGGGTTAAAATTCGGCGCTTCGGGCAAAACCCTGGTGAAAACACGGGCGGGTTGATTGGATTTTAACCCACTGCCCATCTCTGGTCGTAGCAGGTTTTGACAATACAGAAAAGAAAGCAACTTCGTATACCGTTTGACATAACCCTAATGGAATTCTTTTTAGTAGCGTTGGATGTACCCAAAACTTTGTTTTCTTTGTTTGCTTCCTCTTCCGCATTTTTAAAATACATTATTAAAATTTCGTTTTCATCCATTTCGAGCGAACACACACTACCGGCTTCCAAAAAAACATACAAGCGACTGCAGTGCATCAAACGATTCTATCGTGCAAACGAGAAGAAGGCTGTCGTGAAACAATAAATTGTTGTCACGATCTAGTGGGAGCAGCTAGTCACGACAGTCGTTCAACGATAAAAAATTGTCCATGACAGATAGTCATGATATGGGAACAGGCTAAGACACGACAGTCGTCCAACGATAATAAAACGTGACGACATAGTGGGAACGCGCCCTTACTGGATAATAAAAGTTTTTATAACATCTTAACTTATTGAAATGCCCATGTCCTATTTCATCTTCATCGTTTTTACTTACTTGATGAAGTTTTTCATGTAGCAGCCAATAATTAAAATATAGATTTCTCAACAACTGAAGGGAGACTTACTGGTGACTTATACAAATCTTGAGGATCCAAGTTCCCCTGTAACGTGACATTGTCACCAATTATCTTTCTTGCTTCAACTGGATTGATAGTCCAGTCGAGGCCGATTGTTTCATATCCCAATTGGGCTTGTATGTCTAAGGAATGTCCACCGCCTTTTGCAAACACTGTCTGTAAAATGAAAACAAAAAACATTACAAACACAAAAAGCAATAATGGTGCAACATAAGAGGTAAAGACATAGCAAAATGTCAGAGTCGTTAACCTTTCTGCTGATTTGTGCTAACCTGAACTACCAAGATTATCAAAAAGATAATCTTGGTAGTCAAAGAGAAAAACAATTGGGTATAAAGTATTAATGTTATACCCAGAGCAATATACAGTCAATCGTGACGATGGGACCTGAAAAGGGCCCGAAACGTCTGCTTGTTTGAAAAAACAAATATACGCGATTCAAATCCAGAACAATAGTTTCATTTCCCATGTGTAACAATCGCGAAAACCTAAGAACTCGAAATATACACCTCTATAACAACACCTGCTTACAAGGATTGCTTAGAAAAGAGTCAAGTCAAAGTTTAATTTTTGTCAGCCAATGTGTAGTGGAAAAATATAGTAGGCCATATCCTCCTAAGTAGTGTCCTAAGTATAAGGGCCAAACTAACAATTTGATCATTTTCACTTCTTAGGAAGCCATCAATGTTACTAAAGCCCCAGTAAAATGATATTCACTAAAGTGCAGGCAACTAAATCATACTTAGTTTGTGCACAGTTCTGTATTATTAACTATTTCCGATTGCTGTGTCCCAGTCTTCATGTAATAATTGGACACAACATGATATTTAATAAAAACAATTCTAATTGAGTTGTTTTGATTTGAACACATAGGTATTTTTTAAAGGTAAATAAATGATTCTTTATTTAAGTACATTTACCATTGGAACTTGATCTATTTTTTTGTCATCAAGTTGCTTCTTTACCCCACTTCTGATATCTTTCAGATATGGGGCTGAAATTTCAATGAATTGTTCTCTGGTCAAATGGTCTGCACTGGACTCAAACACTTGAAGAAGCTGTGCTCCACTTTCCACCTAAAATTGTAATAATATAAATTTTAAATAATAATCTAATGGTATTTACACCTATAGTTTGACTGATATCATACAGCATTAATAATTTACCAAGATAGGAGAAACTTTTCATGTCAGTTTGCACTTTTATTTTACGGTAAGTAATTTATCACTCCATACTTAATAATAATGTACATAATATGTGCCTTCCTTAGGACACAAACCAGAAGTGTTTACTCACAAGTCATTTTAGAATAATAAATAATAAACTCACCTGCATCACAAGATAATCGATAATAACTCTTGTAAGCAAGCTGAGTAGTTTGTGAACATCCTTTGGGTACTTCTCCAGCCATTCTTTGGTTTTAGACATTGTTTTGCTGCCACCACCTTCTATCATGTATCCCATTAATGTAAACTTAAAATAAGAGGTTGATAGATTAGACCACATCATGTTCATCATAATAAGTATACAGTAAACACAAGCCTCCCTGCCCTCACTCTCTTAATGGCTTACAGTATATACACTCGCGAGCAACCAAATCGACTCAAGCGCTACCTCTACATTCAAACATTGTTCTATATAAAAGTATACAACATTTCAATAAAAATAATATGCCATTTGAAAGCTTGAAACTTCAGCTTTTAGGAAATGTCGTCATTATTAATATCCATGTATACTTTTTTTTATTACCGGTGTCTGAACTTAAATGGGAGAAAAATGGGATTTTGGGTAAAGGAGTTTGACACAAATAAAACACGTTTTTTTCTTAAGAAGTATAAAATTTATTAATTCAGTATTTGGTATTGCCTCCCCTAGCCCTAATTACAGCACGTAATCGATTCTTCATCGATCTTATTAGTTTTTTGACGTTGTCTTGAGGAATACCTTCCCACTCCTCTAATAAAGCTGCCTTCAGTTCTTCCAGGCTCGAAGGAGCTGGATTTCTTGCTCGTACCCTTCGTTTGAGCTCGTCCCATAAATGCTCGATGGGATTTAGGTCTGGACTTAGCGCAGGCCAGTCCATTGTGCGCAAATCGACTTCTTGAAGGAACTCCTGAGTAACGCGCGCTGTGTGGCATCGAGCATTGTCGTGCATTAGGATGAAGTCTTCGCCAACAAATCCTGCGTAGGGCACAACATGTTCCAGGAGAATATTTGTGATGTACCCATCAGCTCCCAGTCCCGCTCCTCGGCCTCCTCCAGGCACGAAAACGAGCTCGGTTTTACCCTCTAACGAGATACCAGCCCACATCATGCAAGAACCGCCACCATAGGCAACGGTTTCTGCGAAACAGCATTGGGCAAATCGCTCTCCCGATCGCCTGTAGACCCGGCCTCTCCTGTCACTGCCATGCAGACACATCCTGCACTCGTCAGTGAATAGGACCGACCGCCATTGCCCAAAGCTCCAGTTAAGATGCTCTCGAGCAAACTGTAGCCGAGCTTGCCGGTGGCCTGCAGTCAATTTGGGGCCTGTTGCAGGCCTTTTTGGAGACAGATTGGCTTCCTTCAGACGTCTTCTTACTGTCCACTCACTGACAGCTACGCCTCGAACACGTCTCAGCTCGCCCTGCACGTCGACACCCGTAAGGTGCCGATTTCGCAGGGTGGTTGAGACAATGAAACGGTCGTCTCCTTCAGAAGTACAACGGTGGCGGCTGGTTGTTGGTCTCCAAGTGAATGCTCCGGTCTCTTGATACCGTCGGTATACTCGGGATACAGCAGATTGACTCAAGTGAAGCTGGGAAGCCACTACTCGCTGACTGAGTCCTTGTTGCAATAAGGCAACAACTTGAGCGGCTTCTTGAGGTGTGGTATCCATGGTTTCTTGAAAACAATGAATGCAGGTTACGGAGATGTGTATCGGTCAACTGTTGATAAGGATTCAAGGGTCACGGGGGTTTTTATAGGGGTAGAGGGTAGCGCAACTAGCAGGTAGCGTAGGTAGTAATTAGTCCCATTCTCCCTAATTGCGCAAATGAACATGTTGGTACTTGTTTTATTTATTGATATTGATGTTTTTTTAAAGTTTAGGTTTCAAGCTTTCAAATGGCATATTATTTTTATTGAAATGTTGTATACTTTTATATAGAACAATGTTTGAATGTTGAGGTAGCGCTTGAGTCGATTTGGTTGCTCGCGAGTGTAGTATATGGTGAAATTACAGGCACATGGAACCTGTCACCATATCTCTCAGGGTGATATGGGCGCAAACCTTTCGTCCCTGCACCAGGCGCACAACTTGTTTGTCCTGTTACTTACTATCATAAAAAAGTAATGCAAGAATATGATTGCAAAACTTACTGGAGCTCCTGTAAATCCAATTAGAGGTACTTTTCCCTCAATTTTGTGTCTTGTCAATGTTATAGCATCTCCTACGTATGCCAATCTAGACACTGCACCTTCTTCCTTTAACAAGTCAATTTCTGAAGGATCGGTCATTGGGTTTGGGAATACTGGACCCTGGAAAACATGTATAATACTTTACAGACAATAACTGCTTCTGTGGCTGAATGGTTACCATGCCGGACTACCACACAAGAGGTTCCAGATTCGATTCCCGGGCCGGGAAAAATATTTGTATGGCATATATTTATTTACCTCATGAGTTTGGGTGTAATTTGTGGTTGTCTATGTGTTGTCCATGGCACCCGCGACACAGGGTTTCCATAGTGCGAGGCTATGTTGAGTGTGTGCGTTATTATTATTATTTACTATAGCACTAGTGTAAATCATTCCCACAAATACTAAGTCGAAAACGCTACTAATTTAATAATAAGACGTTTTACCACTCCAGGATGCATTTCAACAGTCATGCCTAAAGCTTGTGGTATGACGAGAATATCGCTGAATATAATAGATGCATCCAAATGTCCATATCGACGCAACGGCTGCAAAGTGACTTCACACGCCAGCGTAGGAGTCCGACATACAGTAAAAAAATCGTGTTTAGACCGAACTTCTTGAAACTCTGGCAAGTAACGACCGGCTTGTCGCATAACCCATACAGGTACTTTGTCCACTTCTTTACCAAACGCAGCTTTTAACAGTCTATCGTTCTTGAGTACAGGAAAGTCCTACAATAATGAACGAGTATGATTGCGATGATCATGTGAAATCATGACGAGTTTCATAAAGGAAATAGATAATTTGCATTTAATTATTGGCTTAAACGACTTAGAAATTATTTAATTACCTTGTTCGTGTATTCCATGTTCAAAGAATTTAAGAAACAAGTAACTAACTTCGTTGAAAATATTGAATGAAAGGGTAGGTAACTACACAAAATACAATAAACTTGTTCGTCAATTTCCAATTTGGCTGGGGCCAAGTACACATAAAACTATGGCTTCCACATAATTGATACGACCAGAATTGACCAAATACTGACTGTCAGTTCACGTACGTCAAAACCAGCTGAAAGTCAAGTAAAAAATGCGTTCAATTTTGGCTATAATACGGTAAAATGCATTCAGAATATTAATAAGTTAGATTATAAGTAAAATGTACCCGCGTTTTTACTTCAATGATTCGAATATATTATAATACGTTATTAATCCGTATATAGCCTAAAGCTGAACGTCCAATAAGAATAATTATGTGTGTATTTATGTATGAAATCTTTTTTAATTTCAAGAAATTCTTATAATAAATTCGCTTAAAAAGATTAACATTATTGAATATTGATTTTTATTGACTAGATAAGAGAGAAACATAATTGCGATCTACTTAAACATAATATCATTGAGTTACACTTTACTTGAAACGGTTCATTATTCAACCCACAGACCACCTAAGTGATTCAACCTAACTTCCAATAATATTAGCATCTGACTAGAGACTAAGGATGAAAGAGATTCAGGGTCATATTCCAGAACTCTACTCAATGCTCAAGTCAGGACTTGAGTATGATTTCAAGCACTGGAAATACGACTCTAATGGTCCCTACCATACTTGAATATGATTTCTAGTGCTTTAAATCATACTCAAGTCCTGACTTGAGCATTGTGTAGAGTTGTGGAATACGACCATTTGTCTCTTTCATCATTACTAGAGACGCACAATTTTCTGCTTTTCGATTTTTTGGATTGTAATGAATCATAATGCTTCTGAATCGATCCACGGATCGGATAGTATGCTCTAAAATCGATTTCATAAAAATTGTTTCAAAATTTGTAATTGCCATAATAATAGGTAAATTTTTGTTTTGCTTTTCACAGATGCCAATCCTCTATATCTACGTAGGGCGCACTATAAGTTTTCGGAATAAATAAGAAAAAAATACTATAAATGGTCAGAAATGAATTTATTGTTTCTCAAAATATTCTCCGTTAGCGTTAATGCTCTTTTTCATACGAATGTACCAATTTTGAAAACATTTATGCCGCTCTTCCGTGACAATCTCTAAATTGATTGTATTTGACTCATCCCTCTTTAGGCATACTAAAGATGCTCGAATCTCATGATGTGTCACATGCCTGTCTGTTTTGATCATACGGCGCACAGCATCGATGTTTTTGTTGTTCACAGCAGTGGACGGGCGACCATCACGAAATTCGTCACTGAGATTCCCACGACTGCGTTTGAATTCTGCAAACCAGCTGTAAATAGTCGTCTTGCATGGTGTTTCATCGCCAAAAGCAGTTTGAAGCCGAACGAAGCTCCGCTGAGCTGTTAAAGTACACTTCAAGTCGTAGAAAATCACACTACGAAAATTTTCACGAGTTAAATCCATGGTGATGTACACAACCAATTTCTAAAATGACGCCACAATGTAAAAACAAGTGACAGTCAGATGGAACAAACAGTATTCTACAGCCAAAGAGTTCCATTTTCAAATGTTGTAATTCCTTTTGCAATATTGTTTATGTAAGTGGCTAGTTCCGTAAACTTATAGTTCGCCCTGTGTACAATTGAATCAGTCTTCATAAAAATCTAATCGTAATGACGTAGTTCACTAAGTAGTCTGTGCTAAGTAGGTAGTCTGTGTCGTAATAATAATAAGCATCCCTACATCAGACACATATTTCTCTCGAGACGGATCAAAATTATAAATCTATGAAACATACGAAAAACTATTTAAAATTTGTAAAAGTTAATGTAATGAAATTATCTTGTTTGAAAGATGTTTCCTAGATTGAGTTTGCGAGACACATTCTTATATCTACCTGCCGCTCTCGCACTCCTATCAAAACGTAAAAAATACAGTTTGAGAGGGGTTCGCCGTAGTTTTTATTAGAATGCAAGCGACACAAGGCGACCTTTCATAATATGTATTTTTTGTGTAAAACCTTTATCCTACTTTCATAATAAAGTTTATTCGAGCTGGTTGCAAAGTGTTGTAACCCAGTTAATTTAATTTACATTGATTAAAGTTATATTTTGGTTCACTTGTATCTGCATATTTAGATATCTTGGCGATTTACGTACTACGCTAAGATCATAGGCAACTATGTACAGAACTGAAGGCTAAGACAAGAATGTCCAGCAAGTCGTGGAAGCAAAGTTATATTTGTTAAAAAAAGAGGAAAAGATGAGGAATAAAAAGAAACAATTCAAATGACCGAAGATGTTGTGTTAGTTTTTTGTCGCGTCAAAGAGGTATATGTACAAACAAAAAATATGGACAAACTTAGAAAATAGCAAAAATACAGAAAGCACAAGGATGCATCGGAAAAAAATAGGGGTTATGCTGCTATGACAGAGTCGCATGGTCGGGGCAGCCGCAGCCAGCGCAACACAACACAGGTGCCGATATGACTTGTGCATTCTTTGTGCGACTCCGTGGGATCGCCACATTTAAATTTTTCTTATTGGATGTTTTAGGCATAAGCTATGTATAAAAATGCCTTAGCATAATGATTAGGTATAAGGTTTGGCATTGGCAACAACTTGCATGCGTATGTAAACCTACCCTACTTCCTAGATGTAGGATCCACATGTAACTAAATAGGCTTGCACGTAAAGTGTAGCTCATATATAACTAGTCAATTTGGTGAATCACTTTCTGATACAAATTAGTCAGGTTTTATACAAAATGCTAGTAACTTAGCATTTCGTACCGATTGAACCTAATATGCACATGATAAACACCCAATCGAATGCGCAGACCTATTTACAAAAAAATGGCGATAAATCTTCTAGAAATCCTTGATTATAAGCTTCCAACCAAACATAAGTCAGTCCCGATAATAGTGTGGGAATCTCCCATTTTGGAACAAAAACAAAAGGAATATGAATAACAAAAGATTACACGCAATAATTTAGTTGGTCCCGTTAAAGTTGAAAAAAGTTATTTTCAGAAAAAAGTTAATGGTTCGCGTATCTGCGATTCGTTTTTTGGTATTGGTTTTTTCTTGCAATTCGTTATCAAAGTTCGGTGGGCCCAGTAGGGGTGATTTACTAAATTTTAAATAAGAGAAGAGAAGGGTTTTCAAATGTTGTGAAATGTATAGTTTAGTTCGTTATGCTAATAAGTCCTCATTACGCATTTTTCTAGCACATTTTCATAATAAACATCTGTTTTGCAGGAGTTATAGGATTTAAGTAGCTATTGGGATAGAGTACCACCACCACAGATTCGCATGTTTATGTCCATTATTTTATAAACAACACAAATTTCTACAATCAAGATCACAGCACGAACTAAATAATTAAACCAATGAATAACGTTGTTTTTTCGTACATAAAAGTGGTACGAAAATGTGCATAAATTTTTCACAATTTCTCCATTCAACGACCCTTATATAGCGATGGGATTCGTGAGATTAACAGTTTAGACTGGTCAGCTTTTTTATTTCGCCTTATCAAAGCACGAACGAACACTGCTAATAGTTGCTTTAATTTACGCCAATTGCTTCATCTGTTAACAGTACATTTACATAAATACTCGGGATCAAAATATATAAAGAAATGGAAATACTTATCTTCGGGGACTAGAATGATTATGCTATAGTAAGCAACTAGGACTAAGCAAATTTAAGATATGGGACACGGCACCAACACACTTTATATTAGATTAAATTTATAATATATTTTAGATACTTCTATGTAATGTATTTGTGTATGGAGCAGAACATATCTCCATACCCAAACACATTTCAATGCTAACTATGAATGCTATGACAAAGAAACATTTTTTGACCACCATTTGAAAGATGTAGAATAAAAAAATGTTACTTTCAATCCTTTAAATAATCCGACATAATTAACTTCGGGCCTTCTGTGCTTGATAATGTTTTTCATTCTTACCAAGATAGAAGGTGCATGGTGCGTTCGGCAGCGGTAACAGCAATAGCGAACAATTGCCACTAATGCAGGCTCAATTTATTTACGAGCCAGCCGCTAGGGGCGCGAGGGAACAGAGAACCTCATCTAGCGTAGAGTAGCTAACATAATATTTACTTGTTATTATTGTATTAGTAGGTATTATATTAAAAACCCATAATATATGTTTAAAACTGTTATATTAAATTATATTATCCGTTCCGCTACTACTTTAAAGGCTTATTGATACCTTTACGGAGAGAATAGGTGTTTACAATGCATGGGCCAACACAAGTTGGAAGTCTTCACGTATCTTTGAAGATTGATTTTTAAACGCAAATTTAACTTAAAAACTGTGACTTTAATGGTATTAATTAAAATAATAAGCCATGTTTATGCATTTGTTTACTAGTCTATTTATCTAAGTAAAGTGTTACAGGGTCGCACATATGAATAAAATTTCGAAGTTTGAATTTCGTGAACTCCCTTGAACTTCTCGAAAGTCCTTAGTCCTAGTTTCCTTATAAACTGTAAATACTTCTTCTTGTTTTATTGGTAGCTATAAATATATCGCGTTTTTCTGTCGAAAACAGTACCTATGCTCAGTATAGTTGTAGCACTTAAAATTTTTTTAGCGAAATATTAGTTATAATTCTCAAACTGTTGTCGTTGTAAAAAACTAGAATGTTTAACAATGACAAATATGTACACTGCATAATAGAAAATTATAAATTAATTTTGACGACATTCAATTGCCTTTATTATACTCGTATTAACAAATACTACCTAAATATCCGCAACTCATCTATCATGCAATTCACAATCACTAAGTGCGCAAATAAGAATAATAAGTACTTACCTGCCTTTAATAGCTCACGTCGCTATTGTAATATTGACAAGTCAACAACCTATTAGTCAAGGGCAGATTTGGAGGCGAGAGACGCGGAAGACGTAAGCCACTCCAAGGTTTTCCTTATTCGCGCCGGAGGAGGACATTGACTCAAGCAGTGTAAACAGTTCCTTATCTCGAGCTTCGTTGCACCGCCGACGACTCGCAGCTTTTATCTACCACTAAATTGTTC